GGATCATATGGTAAGTCTATTTTTAGCCTTTTGAGGAATGTCCATACTGTTTTCCATAATGACTGCACCAAACTACATTCCCACCAACAGTGTAGAAGGGTTCCCTTTTCTCCACACCCTCTCCAGCATTTGTCATTTGTGGACTTTTGAATGATGGCCATTCTGACTGGTGTGAGGTGATATCTCATATTAGTTCTGATTTACATTTATCTGATAATTAACGATATTGAGTACTTTTTCATGTGCCTATCGGCCATTTTATGTCTTCCTTGGAGAATTCCTTGTTTAGGTCTTCTGCCCATTTTTGGATTGGGTTATTTGTTTTTTTCCTTATAAAGTTGTATGAGCTGTTTATATATTCAGGAAGTTAAGCCCTTGTCAGTCTCGTCTTTTGCAAATATTTTCTCCCATTCTGTAAGTTGTCTTTCTGTTTTGCTTACGGTTTCCTTTGCTGTGCAAAAGCTTGTAAGTTTAATTAGTTCCCATTTGTTTAATTTTGCTTTTATTTCTATTGGTTGAGTAGATTGTCCTAGGAGAACATTGCTGAGATTTATATTATATAATGCTTTGCCTATGTTTTCTACCAAGAGGTTTATAGTGTCTTGTCTTATGTTTAAGTCTTTAAGCCATTTTGAGTTTATTTTTGTGTATAGTGTGAAGGAATGTTCTGACTTCACTGATTTACATGCTGCTGTCCAGTTTTCCCAACACCATTTGCTGAAGAGACTGTCTTTACCCCATTGTATGTTCTTGCCTCCTTTGTCGAAGATTAATTGACCAAAAGTTTGTGGGTTTATTTCTGGGCTCTCTATTTTCTTCCATTGATCCAAGTGTCTGTTTTTGTACTAATACTATGCTGTTTTGTTTACTGTAGCTCTGTAGTATTGTCTGAAGTCTGTGAGGATTACTCCTCCAGCTTCATTCTTTTTCTTCAATAATGCTCTGGGAATTCTAGGTCTTTTGTGATTCCATATAAATTTTAGGATTATTTGTTATAATTCTGTGAAGAAATGTCCTAGGTACTTTGATATGAATTGCATTAAATCTGTAGATTGCTTTGGGTAGTATGGCCATTTTAGCAATATTAATTCTTCCAATCCAAGAACATGGGATATCTTTCCATTTCTTTAAGTCATCTTTAATTTCCTTAGTCAGTGTCTTGTAGTTCTCCATGTATGTCTTTCACCTCCTTGGTTAGATTTATTCCTAGGTATTTTATTACTTTGGGAGCTATTTTAAAAGGGACTGTTTCTTTACTTTCCTTTTCTGGCATTTCATTGTTAGTGTAAAGATATGCAACTGATTTTTCTATGTTAATCTTGTATCCTGATACCTTGCCAAATTCTTTTAATAGCTCTAGGCTAGTAGTTTTTGTGTGGAGCCTTTAGGGTTTTCTGCATATAGTATGTCATCTGCATATAATGACAGTTTTACCTCTTCTCTTCCAGTTTGGAATAAAAAATAAAAATCCCTTTTATTTCCT